GATCTAAGCAAAGAGATTGGAAGGGAGATGTAACTGAAACCTTTCCCTCTCCCACAAAACTATACAGATAAATGACTGCTAAAGGGGTTGGCATGCACATTCTGTATGTTGTGGTTCCAGGTGCTACAGTTCTTCTTGCTTGAATTCCTTATTTATTCCTGTTTCCTAATCTTTTGCATTTGCATGTCATCTGCCAATTTTTTTGAATCCTTTATCAGTGTGAAAAATATATCCTTCCTCTCTGTGTGGCTTCTTTAATGTAGAAAAATCTCCTGGTTGATCTCATTTTCATCTTCTGATTGTAGTAAGATGACAGCTTTAAAGGACACTATCAACTTGAAAGTCACACTTGTGTCTGAAAATGAACTACTTACTCTAGTTACAGATAACCTTGGATAGCTATACTGGAAAGAAATTGATGAGAACAATCTCTTTTTTTTGTACAGGTAACACTGTGTATAATCAATTTCACTGTCCCTAGTGAGCATCTGTATACCATTATGCATCCATGCTGTGTGTTGTGTCGGTATAATTTCATTAAAAAAATCATATCCCTAACCAAAATGTCTATAACTGTACAAGAATTGTGTATACGTCTGGCCTTAGATTTTGCAGGAGCTGTCATATAAGTAATAGTATTATGTAATTAATCCTTTCCCTCTAGTGTGGCATAAAAAATGTTACTTACCCAAGGTGAAGAGAACTTTTTTGATGAGTTAATAAACTTCCATTAGTCTCCATTTGGACAGGCAAGTAGATTTTGTGCTTTAGCTGGTAAACTTTCGTGGCAAGTTTTCACAGCTGTATGGCAGTGTCAGGCTAGAAGAAGTCTTGTGGGTGGGGCAAACGTGACTTAAGTGCTCTGATTTTATAGAAACCTTTTAACAATCATGCCGTTTCCACAGTCACTTGTTCAGAATAGCTTTTATAATACAAAGGAATAAATACACTTTGTTTAAAAACAAAACAGATTCTTCTCTGACAGTAAAATTCTCTTACATCATCGCCACCTTTGGATTTTTTAAAGGCAACCTATAATGGAAAAAAATCAGTGCCCTTTTTCCTTGTTTGACTAATGAAGAAAATTCAAGGGTTTCTGCTTGTATTTTTAATTTTAGAAATGCCAGGCCTTGACTTTCCTGTGTTTGCTGGAGAAGTATTGTGTTCATGGGATACTGGAAGCTGTACGATTGTCGAGAAGAGCCTTTTAGTCAGAATGCTTAAAACTATTTTGTTTAACTCAAACATCTGACATACTTAAGAGGAAAGTTTTGTGAAAGAGTCAACATCCTTTTCAGTGGAGGGCTGGGAAAGCACTCTGTCATCTAGAGTACTTCAGCAAAAACAAGGAACACACTGATTTCTAAAATAAAAAGTAAGCAAGAACCTGTCTCGGGGTATGTGCCTTTTTACATAAACAAAGGGCAAAACCAAATGACGCCTACCACCACTAGCACCCTCCAATAAGTCAGTCTTGTTATTCAGTGAGTTCTGTTTGTTTTCCAGAGAAAATTGCTTAAGATTGCAAAGCCACAGATGCAGCTGTCTGGCGTGTGTCTCGGTAGAACTTTCTCTATCCAGTGAACCTATTGCCAGGGAGGGAAAGAGGATAGTTTGCCTTATGGACATCTATATTACTGGTAAGAAGTGGAGGCTATTCTGGGGTTAGCCACTGGAGCTTAAACTGTAAACAGGTTGAGGCACTTACATGGATCTCTCCATAGATGTTAACTTGGCCTACTGAGTTTGTGGATTCTGTTCATTGCTAGCTTGGCTAAAAATGGCTCGATGTTCTTAAGTGCTTCCGAGTAAATATAGCAGTTGACAGTTGTAGTGAATTAATGCACATGTTGAATCAACCTAAAATTTGATGTTCTTCCTATGCTAAACAGGAACCTGTACTTTTTAATGGAAGTCTTTAGTGCTATGGTAGGGGAGTGGGATTTCTGTGAAGGGAGTAGAGCAGGGGTCTCAAACACGCAGCCCCCAGGGTTGTTTTCTGCGGCCTGTGAGCTCCTCGCAGTCCCCCCCAGCGTTTACCTAGAGCGGGTCCAGCCCGACACGCACCAGGGGAAGGGCAGGCTCCCTGCCTGCCCTGCCTTCTGCCGCTCCGGGAAGCGGCTGGAACGTGGGGAAGAGGGGGCACAGGGCTCTGTGTCTTGCTCTTGCTTCAGGCAGCGCCCCCAGCAGCTCCCATTGGCCGCAGTTCCCCGTTCCCGGCCAATGGGAGCTGCTGGGGGTGGTGCCTGAAGCAACAGCAAGACACAGACCCCTGTGCCCCATCTCCCCCAGGTTCCAGCCACTTCCCAGAGCGGTGCGAGGACAGGCAGGCAGGCGGCCTGCCCTGCCTCCAGTGCTTATCAGGCCGGAGCCCGCCCCCCGAACCCCTCCTGCAGCCCAACCCCCTGCTGTACTCCACACCCCTCCTGCACCCCACACCCCTCCTGCCCTCCCTGGGGGCAGGAAGGGGGCAGAGTTGGGGTGGGGATTTCAGGGAAGGGGTTGGAATGGGGACAGGGCCTCATGGAAGGGGTGGAGTGGATGCGGGGTCAAGAGTGGCGGGGGGAGGTGTCAGTAATGCGGCCCTCGGCCAATGTACTAGTCCTCACGTGGCCCTCGTGGTCATTTGAGTTTGAGACCCCTGGAGTAGAGGATCCAACACACAGCATGCACAGAGACTTTAAGAAAGTTCAAACTTTCTGCAGTTTGACCTTCTCTGGTAGAGTTTGACAAAGTCTCTGATCCTAGGTGAATAATTTGTCTATCCAGACAGAAAGAACTTGCCTAGACAAGTAGCTTTGCAACAGCTCTCTAAAATTCTGCCAGTTCTGTAAATCCTGTTACCTCTGTAATAGAATCATAGTTATTCGTAGCTTGTCTTGTATTTCCCACTAGTTGCAGATAGGAATTGGGGTACAATAGAATAATAGCCAACTTTATAATAGGGTATTCAAGGACTAATATATTGTATATTTTCATAGCACTAATTGCCCCAAAGGTTACAACAACAGCTTACAAGATGTTGACACATTTGTCGTGGAAAGCAACAACCACCTCAGCAACTAGTGTACTGCACAACAGTATGTAAGGATGAAAACGGGTTGACTGAGGAAAGCAGGACAAAGCCCTCTTCTCTTAAAATGCCTTGGGATCGTTTGTGTCCACACAGACCAGACTGGAATTCCTGTTTTGTTTGGGGTTTTTTTGTAAGTCTTATCTGAAAGCTCCCCTGCACTCGTGTTCTGTTAAGTTTTTAATGTTGCGGCTGGAGCATGTTTAGACTAATCTGTAAATGAAGGGATTTTAAATTCAGAAACAGTGGAACCATAAATTTCATGACATGATGGAAGAAAATAATTGTGAGAATATGGCAGTTTGGCGAATGTTCCATGGAGTCTGATTGGTACAAGTATACATTCTGGGGGCTGGACTTCGCCCACAAAGACCAACACATACAGGTCATATCACCAGTAATTATGGCACTTTGGGGTGCTTGTTCCAATGGGTTGCAATAGTTCTGTGAACTATCATTTCCAAGTGTCACATGAGGTGAATTTTAATTCGTACAAGAGCACATGGTCTCATTCAATCTTGTCAGCTTGGAGGTGGTTTCAGTGCTACTTACAAATGGGAAGAGATTCCCAAAGCAGGTCAGATAGTCTAAAAGGGAACATTATACTGGAATGAGCTACCACTAGCTTACTCAAATGAACAAGTAACTCCCCTGTGAGCAAGCCAGGTATGATCTGAGTTTGCCACTTCCCTGCAAAGAAAGCACTGCTTTACAGATTAGTTGACCTCTGTAACTCATCAGCACTGGTGATGTCTTTTTGACAATTTGGGAATCCCTTGTCCCTATCAATTGATTATTTTCTGTTTCTATAAGGACACAGAGAGTGGCTCAAAGGGGCAGTAGCTGTGGCTAATATGATTGTGTTGAGCACCAGTAGCATGCTTAGAATTGTCCAAACATAAGATGTTCCTGTCTCATAGAGTTTGGAATGAAGTAGTTTGTTCAATGAATAAGTGTCAGGCCATTGATGATAGGGGCTTAATGCAAATCTTTTTTCAGGTCTGGAACTCTAGCTTCAAATCAGTCTGGTCACAGTGCAGGGGTGCAGTTGAAACTTTTGAGTTGAGGGTCACTGTACTTTCTCTTGCTGGAAACAGTGATAAAAATGAAGGGATGTCTGTTAGCGTGTGGGGCAGCAGGAGATAAAGGGGGAAATGAAATAGCAATCTGAAATACTGTTTGAAGCTTTAGGATAACATTTTGTCTGCCATTTTGAATATCTTACATACAGCATATGGAAAGCCCCACTTTAAATGCTCTTTATGTGACTCTTGCTGCCCATCAGCAGCTCAGTAATACTTCTTGACCCTTAACTTTTTCACTCTGTCCAGGCCAACTTTCCAGTTGAGCCATGTGGAGCCAGAAGCCTTTGATCAGATCAGAGATGAACACCCAAATTCCCCATATTGGTGGCTGCATTGCTTTCAAGGAGGCATGTAGTCACCAGCACAAGGAATTCTGAGGTACTTTTGTGATGGGAAGTCTTGGTGTTGCTCTGTGGGAAATAATTTCTACCCACAAACATAAGGGATAATGGGGAGGCAACCCAGATGAGGCTTAAATGATTTTTAAGGGGCCATATAATAAATGTACGCACACTACTGCTGCATAGCTTGATTTTTCCTTAGAACTGTGTGAATGGGAGCTTCTGCCTAGTCTCCAGTGGATTTTTGCCTACTGACAACTTGCCATTGTTGACAGTCTGTTTGTAAGAGGGAGTAGCAGGTCAGCAGGATTTGGAGGTGCACTAAAAGTGCTGTGTAGGAAAGCCGGCACAATGCCTGTCTACCACCACCTGGCAGCATGCACTATTGCAATGATTCAGTATCTTGAACACCCAACTTAGATAATTGTACAAAAGGAGGCATCTGAATGAATGTTTGTGACACTTGTGACTGGGTTTCAACCTGTTTCATTTTTTGTTTAGGGTCATCCAGTAGCCGCCACCCAAACCAGGTGACGCCAAAGAAGAGTGGCCTGAAGAACGGGCAGATGAAGAGTAAAGACGATGAGTGTTTTGGAGATGACATTGAGGAAATCCCAGACACAGATTTTGATTTTGAAGGGAACCTGGCGCTTTTTGATAAGGCAGCAGTGTTCGAAGAGATTGACACTTACGAGAGGAGGAGTGGCACTCGCTCCAGGGGTACCCCCAACGAGAGGCCAGCGCGCTACCGGCATGATGAGAACATCCTGGAATCAGAGCCCGTCGTCTACAGACGGATCGTCGTACCCCAAAATACTAACAAGGAATTCTGCACCGGTATGCTGGTCTGTTTACTTCTGAGGATGCTTATTCCATGGCTTCTCCAGGAGATAACTGGGAAGTGTTCCCACAGGGGGCATCTATCACCTTAATGCAACAAGCATGGTTATTCGTTTACAGAGGCTTGGATCCATGCACTTTACCACAGTATTTACAGTATAACCCTCTTTATCTGCCATATTTTAGACATTAAAAGCATTAAGGTAAAAGGGGATAAGCTTACAATAGGGAACAAGGCCAGGATTTGGAGAAAAGGAGTTACAGTGGAACAGAGTTGTGTTGTGAACTATCAGACTAGGTTCATATGACTTGTGATAATTGGAACCAAGGCTTAGCTGTCAGTAGCATGGAGAGCCTGTGTGGATTGATCCCTGGCTCCCGAGAGGGTTTGTCTCAGGATTCAGTACATGTGACCATCTTGGTATCTTGCTTGTGATATGAGGCAGTACAGTTCATGAGCTTCTGATGTTCTGTCTGGATTTGAATAGCATCTGCCAGTAAAGCTGCTAACATGCTTTATTGTTAAAAATTTGAAATCTAGTCAATTTAAAATGCTGAGTTGAAAGTAGTTTCAGGTACTATATGTTTTCCTGAATGTCCATGTCCAAATGTTGTAGTTTTACAGTTATTCTCTTTTTTTTTTAACTACTTTCGCCTGTTGCTGTGTGAAAGGGCCCAGACAAACAGGAAACTGCATGTAGTGCTGTTAGATGCACAAAACACATTCTGATAACTGGGGAGATACATCCCTCCGCCTCTCTTCTCCCCCCTTCTCCCCCAATTCCATTTAAAGTAATCTTGGCTGTTACAAGAATGTAAAACTTGATTTTTAAGCGGTGATGTTCCTTTAACTTGAAGTTTTCATCATGTAAAATCCTGTTGACAAACGTATTAATTCCTTAAGTGGCCCAAACAGTGCATCTCAATACTACTTGGGGGGGGAAGGATAGCTCAGTGGTTTGAGCATTGGCCTGCTATACCCAGGGTTGTGAGTTCAATCCTTGAGGGGGGCCATTTAGGGAACTGGGATAAAAATCTGTCTGGGGATTGGCCCTGCTTTGAGCAGGGGGTTGGACTAGATGACCTTCTGAGGTCCCTTCCAACCCTGATATTCTATGATTCTATGATACCTGCAGCACTCCTCCACTTTCCAGTTTTGTGCAGAGGTTAATAGCACTGTTTAGTGCAAAGCATAGTATAAGCAGTCATTGTGCAAGTTTTCCCCAACTGTGTGAATGCACCCCTGCAATTCCAGTACCAATACCTTCCTAGCAGATAGCAATCTGTCAGACTGAGGGGTTAGTGATGTATGGGTCAGTGAGTTATATTTGATTGCAGTAGTCATGAAATCTAAATATAGAAAATGTTTGTGTTAGGCCAGGGATGGGCAAACTTAACAGTGGGGTTGGGTAGGGGGTGGGGTCCTGGGGATGATTAGGGACGGGGTCTCTGGAGGGGGCGGTCAGGGAACAAGGAATGGGGGGCCAAAGCAAGTTCGATATAACGCGGTCTCACCTATAGCCAAGGACCACGTTATATCGGGGGAGAGGTGTATTAAATAGTTTCTTTCCCTTTTAGAGTGTACACACTTCAAAAATGTGCCGACAGAGTCTTCTATACCCTTAATTGATGGTTAGCTAAATGATACATAGTTATAAATGTCTTAATCTTATTACCTCCAACCTCCTAATCATTCTTGTAGTTCTTCCTCTAGTACATTGGTATTTTTCGGGTAATGTGATTATCAGAATTGAACACAATATTCAGAGCCACCTAGACTATTACTTTCCTGTTGTTTGCCATGCCTTTGGAGGTGTGGCCCAAAATTTCATTGGCCTATCTTTGTTTTGCTACCGTGTTCCTCTCCAGATAAACTCTGTCCGCCTGAGTCTGAGTATTTGTTTGTAGTACTTTCTGCTTGCATGTAGGGTCAGTTGTTGGGGCTGGAGAGATTACATGCAACAGCAGTGTTCGGTGGGAGGTGCCCTGGCCTAAATCACTTCTTGCTGCTGGGAATGAGTCTGCCAAATCTTTGTCTGCCTAATATAAACAAGTGGAGGATGGAGGAAATTTTCTCTTTGCCTGATCAAACTGCTGACACATCAGCTAGCCCTCACCTCTAGCATGAAACCAGTTAATCACAGAACTCGGTTTCAATCAACAAACTTATAGTAAAAAAAAAAAAAAGACCTGAAATGAATGTGCTGGACCTTAGCCAAGAAATTGGATCAGAGTTTATTTTGGAGCTGTAATCGAATGTGAAAGTTAAGCAGGGTGTGTGTATAAGAGCCATATAATCTAACGGCCTGAATTTGAAATTGACAAAGATTGGATAAACAGTTATTCTAACATACAGAGTGCCTAGTACAGGAGGTCATTGTTTCTTGTTGTGCGGTTTATTTCCTTCCTTATTTCTACTAAGGCCTGGTCTACACTACGACTTTAATTCGGATTTATCAGCTTTAATTCGAATTAA